CCAAATGCCTTTGGAGGCCGAGTCATGAGCAATCCTTAGGTCGAAAAATCGTAGAAGCAATTGAACCAAAATCGTCCAGAATTGCTCAAATGATCAAGTGTTAATTATCAGAGCTATTCAGTCAGTGATCCCTTCATCCAGTCACCGTCATAGTCAACACTGCTTTATCTGAGTGTGGAAAAGATCGCAAATATTACTTTTATTTAGATTTTGCGCTTATTTTTTCGCTACAAAAACAATCATAACTCGACATCCAGAGGAGTTTGGCATATAATAGAGACAGATTTGGAATCAGCGTTTGATACTACGAAGTGATATAGGTTCTCATATAGAAATTCCACTTCGACTGGACATCCTTTTCTTGTAAGACCGACTTGAAGGCAGTGGCACGGGAACATTGCGAATGCGAATCATCCATCCCTCTTTGATCTTCTGAATGCGCTGAGTCAAGCACTGTTCTTGAAATCTTTCGAAGTTGTCAAGAAAGTGCTTCTTTGGTTCCGTCCTTGGAGATCGCTGAAGGGGCTGGACTAGCGATTTGCGCCAGCTGAGGCGGTATTGGTCGCCTGAGCCCATCAGCCAATTGCCGCGAAAATGGATGGAAGGACTCCACTTGTGCAGGCCTGCAGGCAGTCGTTTTGGCGAGAACTCTCCTCCAGCCCCTTCAGCAATTTGCAAGGTTGAGAAATGCCACAAAAACACGTTCTTGCTATTTTTGAGAGTTTCAAAGACAATACTGGACTCGGCGCATCCAGAAGGCCAAAGAGGAATGGAAAACTCGCAGTCGCAACATCCAAGGACCCATCCTATCCTAAAACTTTACAAACCGAACCTCTGCGAGATTAAGAAGTTAAAGCACGTTTTCAGAAAAATATCGACTCGCAAGTGGGGCATCGATGTTTCCGGAATGAACGCCAGGCAACGCAAATCAGTTGGATATTGGCTGTTTTTATGCGCAGGTATGTGCTATGGTGCTGTTGCAATCGGAGGATTGACGAGGTCTGTGGGTGGCTTGAGCTCGACCATAGTTGAGTTGATTTTTTGCAGATTGACTGAATCTGGCTTGAGCATGGTCAATTGGGATCTCTTCCGATCCATGAGACCTCCTTTGACTCGAAAAGAATGGGAAGAGGAATTTGAACGCTACAAGCAGTACCCAGAGTATAAATAGTGAGTATTCTTTAACACCAGCGTTTTTTAGATCATCGGATCTCTTCTAGTAAGTGCTCTTCGGAGGACATGACAATGTCACAGTTCAAATTCATCTGGCATATGGAGTATGGACATCGAATGTGGGGTCGCATCACTGGTGTGGTAAGTTTCCCCATTTTCCACTAGTGTTCGTCTTCCTTCCATTACTGGAGGTTTCTCAGG